ACTTGCTTTATATTCACGTCTGTGTGTATGTGTACGTGCTTATGTGCACGTGTACGAGAATGCGTGCGTACATGCGTGTCCGTGGCGATAATTTGCCTGTGCGCGCGTCTAGACACGCATAGGAGCGCTAGGGAGCCCGCCAGCATCTCCTGCCAGCCACCCACCTGTTGTCCAGCAAACATACTTAATCCAGCTCACCAAAAACCTCCTTCTCACCCAAAGAAAAATTTAAACCCGCACAAAAATAATCCGAGCGACTTGAGATAACTTGTGTGGCATCACTTGCCCGCCAAAACCTCGCTGACCAATCAGCGCCACCCGCAGTACAGGAACGAGGGGGAGCGCCTCGCTTATTGGTTGCTAGGATGGCTCGGTTATTGATCTACGGCGGCGTGTTTGTGTTTGAGAGAGAATGGGATTCCTCTCGTAAAGGTTTTTTGTGTGTGTTTTTAGCGGTGTGTGTGTGTGTAGTGTGGCGTTGGGGGTTGAAGCGGGGGACGGTGCTTCAAAAGATAGTACCGTTTATTATTTTATTTTGGATATGTTTTCTGTAATGACTGTAAAGTGGGTTGGTTTGTTTGGCTGTTTAAGCCTTTTTTGGTATTGTATGTGATTTGATGGCGTTAGTGGTCATTATACCTTTACATTATACCATACTACCAGCTACCTTTTAGTGGATGGTTGTATGGTAATACAGTGGTGGTTCTGTAGGGTTGTTGCTATGTAGCGTTATCAGCACATTGTTCTCTTAAAATAACCTCTTATGTATCACGTGATACGCCGCTCTTACGGCTGTGAGAAATGTGCGCGCCCCCACACTGATCCGCCCCCCCCCTGGCCCCGCCCACCACGGTGCCCCCCCCTCTCCTAGCCCCGCCCACCACGGTGCCCCCCCCCCCCTCCTAGCCCCGCCCACCACGGTGCCCCCCCTCCCCACCACGGTGCCCCCCTCCCCACCACGCTGCCCCACCCACCACTACGTTGCCCCTCCCCACCACGCTGCTCCGCCCACCACGCTGCCTTCCCCACCACGCTGCCTCCCCCACCCCTCGCCCCGCCCACCACGCTTCCCCGCCCCGCCCACCACGCTGCCCCGCCCCGCCCACCACGCTGCCCCGCCCCGCCCACCACGCTGCCCCGCCCCGCCCACCACGCTGCCCCGCCCCGCCCACCACGCTGCCCCGCCCCGCCCACCTCTCGCCCCCCCCCCGCCCACCTCTCGCCCCCCCCCACTACGCTGCCCCGCCCACCTCTCGCCCCCCCCCCCACTACGCTGCCCTGCCCTCGCCCCGCCCGCCCCCACCACGCTGCCCCACCACCTCTCGCCCCCCCCCACTACGCTGCCCCGTCCACCACGTTGCCCCGCCCAGCCCACCACGTTGCCCCGCCCAGCCCACCACGTTGCCCCGCCCACCACGCTGCCCCGCAAACCTCTCGCCCCGCCCACTACGCTGCCTCGCCCCCCCTCGCTCCGCCCACCACGCTGCCCCGCAAACCTCTCGCCCCCTCCTCGCCCCCTCCTCGCAAACCTCTCGCCCCGCCCCGCAAACCTCTCGCCCCCCCCCACCACGCTGCCCCGCCCCTCCTCCCCCACCCACCACGCTGCCTCGCAAACCTCTCGCCCCGCCCACTCGTCTCGCTCAACCCCTCCCCCTTGCCCCGCCACCCCTCCCCCCTTCGCTTCGCTCACCACGCTGTCAGAGTGTAGGACATGGTTGGCAGCGGTAGTGCAGGTGTGGAGCGGTGTTGGCAGCGGTAGTGCAGGTGTGGAGCGGTGTTGGCAGCGGTAGTGCAGGTGTGGAGCAGTGTTGGCAGCGGTAGTGCAGGTGTGGAGCAGTGTTGGCAGCGGTAGTGCAGGTGTGGAGCAGTGTTGGCAGCGGTAGTGCAGGTGTGGAGCGGTGTTGGCAGCGGTAGTGCAGGTGTGGAGCGGTGTTGGCAGCGGTAGTGCAGGTGTGGAGCGGTGTTGGCAGCGGTAGTGCAGGTGTGGAGCAGTGTTGGCAGCGGTAGTACATGTGTGGGGCAGTGTTGACAGCGGTAGTACAGGTGTGGGGAGGTGTGGGTAGTGCAGATGTGGGGCGGTGTTGGCAGCAGTAGTGCAGTTGTGGGGCAGTCTTGGCAGCGGTAGTACAGGTGTGGGGCAGTCTTGGCAGCGGTAGTACAGGTGTGGGGGGGGGGGTGTTGGCAGCGGTAGTGCAGGTGTGGGGGCAGTGTTGGCAGTGGTAGTGCAGGTGTGGGGGCAGTGTTGGCAGCGGTAGTGCAGGAGTCTGGCAGTGTTGGCAGCGGTAGTGCAGGTGTGTGGGACAGTGTTGGCAGCGTTAGTGCAGGTGTGGGACAGTGTTGGCAGCGGTAGTGCAGGTGTGGAGCAGTGTTGGCAGCGGTAGTGCAGGTGTGGAGCAGTGCTGGCAGCGGTAGTGCAGGTGTGGAACAGTGCTGGCAGCGGTAGTGCAGGTGTGGGACAGTGTTGGAACCGGTAGTGCAGGTGTGGGACAGTGTTGGCAGCGGTAGTGCAGGTGTGGGACAGTGTTGGCAGCGGTAGTGCAGGTGTGGGACAGTGTTGGCAGCGGTAGTGCAGGTGTGGGACAGTGTTGGCAGCGGTAGTGCAGGTGTGGGACAGTGTTGGCAGCGGTAGTGCAGGTGTGGGACAGTGTTGGCAGCGGTAGTGCAGGTGTGGGACAGTGTTGGCAGCGGTAGTGAAGGTGTGGGACAGTGTTGGCAGCGGTAGTGCAGGTGTGGGACAGTGTTGGCAGCGGTAGTGCAGGTGTGGGACAGTTTTGGCAGCGGTAGTGCAGGTGTGGGACAGTGTTGGCAGCGGTAGTGTAGGTGTGGGACAGTGTTGGCAGCGGTAGTGCAGGTGTGGGACAGTGTTGGCAGCGGTAGTGCAGGTGTGGGACAGTGCTGTCAGCGGTAGTGCAGGTGTGGGACAGTGCTGTCAGCGGTAGTGCAGGTGTGGGACAGTGCTGTCAGCGGTAGTGCAGGTGTGGGACAGTGCTGGCAGCGGTAGTGCAGGTGTGGGGCAGTGTTGGCAGCGGTAATGCAGGTGCGTGTGGCAGTGTTGGCAGCGGTAGTGCAGGTGTGTGGGACAGTGTTGGCAGCGGTAGTGCAGGTGTGTGGGACAGTGTTGGCAGCGGTAGTGCAGGTGTGGGACAGTGTTGGCAGCGGTAGTGCAGGTGTGGGACAGTGTTGGCAGCGGTAGTGCAGGTGTGGGACAGTGTTGGCAGCGGTAGTGCAGGTGTGGGGCAGTGCTGGGTGTGTGTGGCAGTGTTGGCAGCGGTAGTGCAGGTGTGGGGCAGTGCTGGCAGCGGTAGTACAGGTGTGTGTGGCAGTGCTGGCAGCGGTAGTACAGGTGTGTGTGGCAGTGTTGGCAGCGGTAGTACAGGTGTGTGGGGCAGTGTTAGCAGCGGTAGTACAGGTGTGTGTGGCAGTGTTGGCAGCGGTAGTACAGGTGTGTGTGGCAGTGTTGGCAGCGGTAGTGCAGGTGTGTGGCAGTGTTGGCAGCGGTAGTACAGGTGTGTGTGGCAGTGTTGGCAGCGGTAGTGCAGGTGTGTGGCAGTGTTGGCAGCGGTAGTACAGGTGTGTGTGGCAGTGTTGGCAGCAGTAGTACAGGTGTGTGTGTGGCAGTGTTGGCAGCGGTAGTGTGTGTGTAGTGAAGGCTCCAGAGAGGTCACTTCCGTGCGGGTGCCAGGTTGCCATGGTAACCCCAGTGAGGGGAGGTTTCACTTAGGCTTAAGGTAAAATGCCTTGATGGAGGGTAGCCACAGTAGCGGGGAGGGGAGTGGAACAACTCCCAGAACCCCATCAACCAGGTATCAACCAGGGATCAACCAGGTTCAACAAGGTATCACCAGGTATCAACCAGGGAGGGGAGTAACCTTGGTGTGTGCATGGGTAAGATCGACTAGTTAAATTGGATGATTTTATATATCAGCTTCCCTAGACTACATGAAGGGTTACATAGTGTGTGTGTGTGTGTGTGTGTGTGTGTGTGTGTGTGTGTGTGTGTGTGTGTGTGTGTGTGTGTGTGTGTGTGTGGAGAGATATTAAAGTCTCCATCTGACGGGATAGAGAATCATACATGTGGTCAGTAAGCCTGCACTGCCAAACTTTAGGTGCATTAGGAGGATATCAACAAGAAGAGTTGGGGTAATGATCGCAAAACTCCAGGAATAGGCAGGTCTGGCTGTTCTATGGCTGGGATTTTAATCTGGGTGTGAGTGATCATGTCCCAGTTCCTGCTCAAAGAGTTTGCACCCGGAATGTTCAGAACTGGGAGATCTGTCACCTGTAGCCACCTGCCACAGGTAACCCGACCTGATCCTGGCAACCATTTTCAGATCTAAGCATAAATGTGCTTTTAATATTAGTGTTTTCAGGAATCTTTTTTCCTTCTACCAGACCTGAATGTATGGAGCATTATAGTCTTAACAGCAGGGATGGGGTTATCTAGGTCTACTTCAGTTTTATTCTTGTTACTCAACTTGGGTACAGGAATAAACACGTGAAAGTCTACGGTGGTTACCCGCCACGTTTAACTACTGGTTTTTCACTATCAATATTTTCTGATATAGTTTCGACCGTCCAAGTGGTTGGGCACCATTCCTTCCCCTTGTGCCATATCAAATCCTTATCCCTTCCCAGTGCTATATAGTCATAATGGCTTGGCGCTTTTGCTTGATAGTTCCCTTCCCACTAACAACTTGATCGTAGAGCAACGCTCTACTTAATTGCTGGGTTGATGTTCGATCCCCGATGGTTCAAGAGGTTGGGCACCAGTCATTCATCCTTCCTCCATATCCGTGTCCTCGTATCTCTGTACCATCATGGAACTGTGTTTAAGTTGAAGGGGATATTCTTAAGATTACAGAATTACCATTACGATGGCCAGCCGCAGTTATACCGCCCAAGAGTTATAATTCAGTGTTAAGAGCTCATGTGCTTTGTAAATATCCTCCGTTATATTGTCTTTGGATTGCTTCACCGAGTAACGCAAGTAATGGTTTGTTTTGGGTGCTTCAGTTGTTTAAGGTCCACCAGGCGTCATGTGAGGCAACACTTAACCCTCCACACTCACCTCCTCACTGCCAATTTGCCTTTACCACTAAAGGAAAAACGCTTGAATATATCAATATACAACGAAGGACGAGAACAAGGTGTATTGAGGCTATGCGAGTGTCTGAAACATTAAACATTTATGTAACGAATTTGTTACATTAATCACGAAAGCTTACTGAAGCCGTCATTAATTACGAAGGCTTGACGAATGTAACGCAGGTGAAACGAGAAGCTCGACAGGCGCAGGTAATGGTGGTCTATTGAAAAGGGGAAAGTCACCAGGATTATTGTGCCGTCACCACCACCAGAAATGGCATTGTGGGTGTGACTACAGCGACTCGGGTCAAACCTCCCGTGTGCTTTGTGACCGGCAATAGTAGCATCACAAAGTCCACCACCGCCAGTAGCAGCACCACCGTCCGTGGCAACACCACCGTCTGCGGCAGCACCACCGTCTGCGGCAGCACCACCGTCTGCGGCAGCACCACCGTCCGTGGCAACACCACCATCACCGTCTGCGGCAGCACCACCGTCTCTAGCAGCACCACCATCACCGTCTGCGGCAGCACCACCGTCTCTAGCAGCACCACCATCACCGTCTGCGGCAGCACCACCGTCCGTGGCAGCACCACCATCTCTAGCAGCAGCACCACCACCACCACCGTCTGCGGCAGCACTACCACCATCATCTGTTTGTGGCACCATCACCGTCTGTAGCAGTAGCCGCTGCGCCATGCCAGCCACCATCAACATGTACGGGGAAACAGAATACTTGACTGCCCCGCTCGCCTCCGTAGAGGACCTGTCTCGCGTCAACACGCCGGGGGGTTCCCCCTGCCCCAAATCCCGCCACAGGCACCCAGCTCTTGAAGACCCCAACTGGGAGCCCCCTGAGGACCCAACCTACTACTCCAAGGATCCCGAATTTGCCCTGGAACCCACGGTCCTCACGCCTCTACAACCCACTCCTGAAGAGGACACCGGACCTCCAGACAGGTAAGTTAACCCCAGACTCGTACTGATCCATCCTTCCTCTTGTCGGACTCGTACTCGTTTTCCCCTGCTAGCTACCCGAGTAATGGTGTTCCAGGTATTGGAATATTGAGACCCCAGTCGTCAGGTATGCTGACGCCAGGAACCACCACTAGGCAATTACCACCTGTCTCGAGAACACCTTAATGACGTTAGTACATCGTCGGTAATACTTAAAACTCTCCCTTTATAGTAATACTTCGCGCTTGTTCATACAATGCAAGAAGTTACTTCGAGTATTACGGTAAGTTATAACTTCCTGTTTTTGTTCGTTATACCAGTCAGAAATAATAGTGTTTTATTTACTGTATTTTACTTAGTACTGTATTTTATTTAGTACTGTATTGTTTATTTATTGTATTTAAGCCCCACTTTATACAAGGGTACGTTTCTGGTTAGGTAAGGTGGTTTGATTTTTTTTTTACAGTAGTACCTGCTTGATAAGATTCTGGGAGTTTTTCTACTCCCCCAAAGCCTCTTACCAGAGGCTTGATAAATACCGAGAAGGAACTGGTACGAGACGTTTTCCCAGAGGACTGCCAAGTGGCACCGTTATGGAGCCATATTTCATTTCCTTGCTCGGAAACACTCCCAAAATGTTTCTTAATTGTCTTCCTCCCCCCCCCCCCTCCCACATGTCTTCAGTGTTAAAAACTAAAAAATGTTTGTGGTTTGCTGTTTAATGCAATCAAATGTATTAAATTACAGGATTAACAATGGATACCTTTTAACGTTTTGCTGCCTTATGCTAAACTGAAAAGGAATCTTTCTTGAAGCAATCTTCAAACTTTTGTTGATCCAGCAATGGTGAGATATGGATAGGAATGGAATGGGAAAGAATTTACAAATGTGAAAAGCTGGGATCTTGCAAGGTGGGTGAGCCAAGTGTAACAGTGCAAGTTTTTGCACTCTTTCATGTGTAATTGTGAGTTGTAATTGTGTGTGAGTGTGTGAGTAAGTGTGTGAGTGTGTGTGCATGAGGAGCGACATGGTATGAGGGAGGTGTTGACTAGCTTCAATCTGCTGACAAACTAGCCCTCCCACCCTCAATTACAACTCACAATTATACGCGAAAGAGTGCAAAAACTTGCACTGTTACACAAGGGTGTAGTGAGGACGAGGTGGTTGTGGACACTGACTGACCGGGAGAGTTGTATTAATGTGTGTGTGTTCTCCAACAGGTTCAAGCTGGTGTTCTTGACGCTGGTCCTCCACGGCGTGGGCACCCTCATGCCATGGAATATGTTCATCACAGCCAAAAATGTAAGTGACCCCCTCTCTTTGTGAACGATAATGTGTGCATCTTTCTCTCACCCGCCCGACTACTTGGGCTGGATGGTAGAGCGATGGTCTGGCTTCGTGCGGGTCGGCGTTCAATCCCCCGACTGTCTAAGTGGTTGGGCATCATTCCTTTCCCCCATCCCATCCCAAATCCTTATTCTGATCCCTACTCAGTGCTATATAGTGGTAATGGCTTGGCGCTTTCCCTTGATAATTCCCTTCCCCTCTCTTTCTCTCGCATTTTTGACTGACTTGCGCAATCCCTCTCTCCCTCTCTCCCTCCCCCTCCCTCCCCCTCTCTCCTCCCCCTCTCCCCTCTCTCCTCCCCCTCTCTCCCTCCCCCTCTCTCCTCCCCCTCTCTCTCCCCTCCCCCTCTTCCCTCCCCCTCTCTCCCCCTCCCCCTCCCCCCTCCCCCTCCTCCCTCCCCTCCTCTCTCCCCCCCCCTCTTCCTCCCCCTCTCTCCCTCCCCCTCTCTCCCTCCCCCTCTCCCTCCTCCCCTCCCCCTCTCTCCCTCCCCCTCTCTCCCTCCCCCTCTCTCCCTCTCTTCCTCCCCCTCTCTCCCTCCCCCTCTCTCCCTCCCCCTCTCTCCCTCCCCCTCTCTCCCTCCCCCTCTCTCCCTCCCCCTCTCTCCCTCCCCCTCTCTCCCTCCCCCTCTCCCCCCTCCCCCTCTCCCCCCCCTCTCCCCTCCCCCTCTCTCCCTCCCTCTCCCCCTCCCCTCTCCCCTCTCCCTCTCTCCCTCTCTCCCTCTCTCCCTCTCTCCCTCTCCCCCTCCCCTCCTCCCCCTCTCTCCCTCCCTCCCTTTATTTAATATTAATATTTACAATATTATTATTAATATTTATTTAATATTGTGTTGCAGTTATGTCAATTACTGAATGAAGCTTCCCTTTCATTTACCTTCCAATGATTCCAAGGATCAATGTCTTCGCGGCCCGGTCTCAGACCCAGCCTCCGGGTTGATCTGGTCAACCAGGCTGTTTGACACAGCTGCTTGCAGCCTGGTTGATTAGGGAGCCTTTGGAGGCCATTATAAACCTCTTGTTTGAAACGAGAGATTGGCTAGTTATGCCCCTTGTGTAGAGGAAGAGATTTGAAAAGTCTTGGGCCTTTAATGTTGATAGTTCTCCCTCAGCGTACCTATTGCACCTCTGCTTTTCAACGGGGATATGAAGAAATGGAATTGGAACAAAAAGCTATACAAGAGATAAAGAAAAATCAACAATATTTTTTCACATGTGTAAAATAAAAATAAAAACTCCAGCTGTATTGAACCTTTACATACAACTGAAGGCTCCTACACAGAGGACAACAAAAGAAATTACTGAAATTCTAAATGGCCAGTATGAGGCTATGTTTAGCATCCCAATAAACAACATGAAAGTTGATGATCCAGACAGCTTCTTTATGAATGACATTCACGCTGCAGATAATATAACGGATATTAACACGAACTCGGAAGACTTTGAAAAGAGAAATTGACAACATGCCCATGTGCTCAGCCCCTGGTTCTGACTTATGAAATTCAATATTCATAAAAAAAATGTAAAGTACCAGTAGTGCGAGCACTCAGTGTAATATGGAGAAAGAGTCTGGATACAGGGGAGATACCAGAAGCACTTAAATCTGCAGATATAGCTTCTCTGCACAAGGGAGGTAGTAAAGTTTTGGCCAAAAATTATAGACTAGTTGCACTAACATCACACACACAAGTTTTTGAAAGAGTGATTAGGAATCAAATTTCCAGTTTTATGGAAAATAAAACTAAGACAGGTTGTTTAGATCCTGTCTACACAACCCAGGACAACATGGATTTAGAGCGGGAAGATCCTGTCTGTCACAGTTACTCAACCACTATGACAAAATCACAGAAGCTTTAGAAGAAAAGCAAAATGCAGATGTTGTATACTCAGACTTTGCAAAGGCATTCAACAAATGTGACCATGGAGTGATAACCCATAAAATGAGATCAATAGGAATAACGGGTAAAGTGGGGCGTTGGATTTTCAATTTTGACTGTCACTCTCTGCATGCTGTTTAACATGCAGCATGCATGCAAATAAGATCAAGCCCAAGTGCAGGGAAAAGCTCTGTAAACCAAGACACAGTCCTGTCACCACTGCTGTTTCTCATTCATATCTCTGATATAGACAAAAATACTTCACAGCTTCGATCATCCTTTGCAGATGATACAAAAAATCAGTATGAAATTGCTTCTGTACAAGACCTAAAAAACTGCAGGCAGATATTAATAGTCTTCGATTGGGCAACTGAAAATAACATGAAGTTTAATGGTGACAAGTTCCAGAGAATTAGGTATGGTGCAAACGAGGAAGTTAAACAAAACACAGGGCTATGTATAAATATATGATTGTGGCTGTAGGCATTTTGTGACAAAATATAAATAATTGTGGCTGAAAGACACAAATCAGACATACTCATAAAAAAAGCAACATGTAAAATATATGAGAATTACGATCTCTGACGACCTGACATTTAGTGAACATAACCGAGCAAATATAGCGGCGGCGGCCAGGAAAATGATATGATGGATTATGTGAACGTTCAAATCCAGAGACCCCACAGCAATGCTAATACAGTACTATTTAAATCACTGGTGCTGAGTATTGCTTGGTACTCACTTCCCCTTTCAGAGCAGGAGAGATCTCTGAACTAGAGGTAATACAGAGAACATATACGGCACGCATAGAAACGATACATCTACCTTACCTTGAGGTGCTTCCAGGGCTTAGCGTCCCCGCGGCCCGGTCGTCGACCAGGCCTCCTGGTTGCTGGACTGGTCAACCAGGCTGTTGGATGCGGCTGCTCTCAGCCTGACGTACGAATCACAGCCTGGTTGATCAAGTATCCTTTCGAGGTGCTTATCCAGTTCTCTCTTGAACACTGTGAGGAGTCGGCCAGTTATGCCCCTTATGTGGAAGGTGTTGAAGCGTGTTGATAGTTCTCTCTTGAGTGAGGGGTCGGCCAGCCTCTGATGTTGATAGAGTTCTCTCTCAGAGTACCTGTTGCACCTCTGCTTTTCAAAAAAGTTTTCTTCTTTTCAAATTAGCAATTTTTCAAATTCAAATTCAATTTTTCAAATTCAATTTTTCAAATTCACCTCTGCTTTCTAAATTATTGGGACAGTCTCAAAGGCCTCAAAATGTACTCTCTGGGAAAGGAGACAAAAAAAGGTATCAAATAATACATGGAAGATACTTGGCCTGGTCCCAAATTTGCACAGTAGAATAACAACATACTGGAACGAAAGATAAAGAAATGCTAAATAGAACCAGTGAAAAGTAGAGGTACCATAGGCACAGAGAACATTGTCTGAATATCAGGGGCCCATTGTTCAACACCCTCCTAGCAAGCATTATAAATATTGCCTGAACAAAGGTGGATGTATTCAAGAGGCACTTAGATAAGTTCTTGCAAGAAGTGCCGGACGAACCAGGCTGTAGTCGATATGTGGGCCTGCAGGCCACTCCAAGCAAGAGCCTGTCGGACCAAGTTATCACAAGTCAAGGCCGGGATTCGGGAGTAGTAGAACTCCCGGAACAAATCCACAAGGGATTTGAGGGTACGAACCTACACACGGGATGTTCCCTGACGCGCCTTAGTCAACTGTAACACCACATGGTAAAGGAATTGCAACCTGGAGTGTTACTGCTCTCACTAGGATCCTGTAGTTTCTCTGAAGCACAAGCACAACCGGACCTTAGTGAGGGCAGTAGCACTCCAGGTTGCAATTCTTTTACCATGTGGTGGTACAGTTGACTAAGGCGTGTCAGGGAACATCCCATGTGTAGGTTCGAACCCTCATCCCGTGCATAGGTTCGAACCCTCATTATTGCCCTTGTAGATTTAGTAATTTGATATATCACACTATTGTGATTTCTGTGTGTAACTCCCAGAACCCTCTTCAAGTATGCTCCAGGTCTTGGGTTCTGTTTGTTAGGAAACTAAAAATCCATCACCTTTTTTTTTGTCTGCAAATTTTATATGCAATAAGACCATAGTCACATCTGTCAAAAGCATTGGCAAAATCTATGCATATTATATCGATCTTATGCTCGTCTCCCATGTTATCCAAGACCATGTCATAGTGATCTAGCAATTGTGAGAGATATGAGTGCCCTGTTCTGAGCCCATGTTGGCTCAGGTTATGTAGAATCTGTTTCCATAAATTTTGTTATCTTAACATTCAGAAATGTTTATAATATAAAGTGCTATCGGTCTATAATTTTTTGTGGAGTGGCATGATTTCTTGTTTTAAGTATGTTGAGGATAATACCAGTATCTAGGCTCCATCTCCAAACAATGTGATAGTGGTGTTTTGCAATTCTTGATGAATAAAGAATTCCCGGAATATGGGCATGCGGAGTGCACGGGCATGCGGAGTGCATGGGCATGTCTCAGTCTCTCCAAGATAGGAGGCTATATGCTTGGTGATCCAAAGTTTTGCATGGTGATTGTTGGGTGCAAGATAGCGGTCATAGGGAGGTTTCGGCCCAAATGCCACCCTTCATGTAGTCAGTGGAGATGAAATGTTCGAAACAGAGTCAATAGAATTTTATCGGTGTATTAGATTTAGTCAATTTCATCCTCACTTGTATCCATATAACATAACTTTCATCGTGATAGCATTAGGAGCCCCCAGAATCGATACACTGCTGAGATAGTGAAGATGGTTACAGTACTGTATAGAGATAAGGCTGAGTGTGTCTAGTTTAAATGGTTACAGTGATGAGAATGTGTGAATGTGTGACATCTTCAAGAGAAAACTAGATAATTTTCTTCAAGAAGTGCTAGACCAACTGGGCTGTGGTGGATATGTGGGCCTTCGGGCCGCTCCAAGCAACAGCCTGTTGGACCAAGCTCTCAAGTCAAGCCTGGCCTCACTGGCCTTGGGGAATAGAAGAACTCCCAGAACCCAATCAAGCAGGTATCAAGTAGTGTATGTAGTATAGATGGTTTCCGTGGTAAGGATGGTAGTGTGTAGTGCAGATAGTTGATGATGATTGTATAGTAAAAGATAATTACAATGATAAAGATAGGCAAGTGTATGTAGTTATGATGTGACTTGTGTCACCTTAGCTAATTGTTATATAAAATATAACCAGTGAGAGCTATTAAAACAGAATGTTGTGTTTGAATGTGTACTGTATCATTGCTTGATTAGTATGGAGTGGAGTTTGCCGTGTTGTAAATGTATACAAGCATTTAATTTTATAGCAAAAGTTTTAGCACTTTAGGTTTAAACTAAAACAAAATTTTAAAATAAACATGTTTTATAAAGGTATCTCTCTTCCCCTATATGCTAAATACTGTAGTTTTATATGGTATTGTATTTAAATATGTATTGAAATGTGATTAAAGATTTTGAGCAAATCTAATATTTTTGTGGTTTATAATAGTAAGTACAGTACCAAGATGGGTAATTTGATGCTTATATGCTCATGTATAACTAACATGTCTTTAATTTTTTGGGTCATAATAGCTTTATACAGTATCCATTTCTTGTGAAGAAAGAAAATTTATCATTTTGCCAAATGTTATGTTTGTAGCATAATGTTCACAGTTTATTTAATTCCATCTCTGCCAGACTTAATGAAAACTGTGGTACTTGCATTGTTCACAGTATTTTTTGTTGCTTTTATATTTCTTGAAGCTAACGTATCTCCTTTTTCCGCTCAGTATTTTGTGGACTACAAACTTCGGACGGATGATGGCGAAATTTCAACTTACGTTACAAATTTTCTGCCTTATATAGGCTATGCATCACAAATACCAAATGTTCTATTCAACTGGCTCAATATCTTCATTCAGTTTGGGTATGTATTCATTTGTGATCAAATTTATAATATTGCTTAAATATCACAGGTATTGCTTTAATTTTTGTTTTCAGTTCCTTTTTCAAATAACTTTTTTATTCGAGGCATCTACCTGTTATATCAGTATTGTAGCTGCTGTTTGATAATGCATTTTTTAAATATAGTATTATGTAACTAATTTATTTGGAAATTATCTGGAGGTGTTATGTTTTTAGTTACAATTTTGGCAATGTTTCATCCAAATTGCCTAAAATTTTCTATACTAAGGCTATTGGATCACATATATCAAATGATGCATTACGTGGTTTGTGGGAAAATTATTTTCATTTGAAAATGCAGAAAATTATCTTTGTGAAAACTTGGGAAAGCCACCTTTCATTGGAAAAAATTTATTTGCATTCTTTTGTTATCTAAAGAACAGTTTACTGTTGTAATTTTGCACAACAATTGATTAATCAGTAGCTTAATCAAAGTGATCAGGCCTCATGGGTGTCAACATGATTAGATTATAGCTCAAAACCAGTAAGGCACCCCATCTTGAGGCTTGATGTTGATAGCTTAATCAAAGTGATCAGGCCTCATGGGTGTCAACATGATTAGATTATAGCTCAAAACCAGTAAGGCACCCCATCTTGGGGCTTGAGTTGATTTCGGGGCTTTAGTGTCCCCGCGGCCCGGTCCTTGACCAGGCCTCCACCCCCAGGAAGCAGCCCGTGACAGCTGACTAACACCCAGGTACCTATTTACTGCTAGGTAACAGCAGTAAATAGGTATAAGGTAAGGTAAGATAAGGTAATAGGTAAATAGGTTAAAATAAACACTCTCCCACCCCATGGTGGGAGAGTTGGGGAAGGGGGGTATATCCAGGCTTTGTTCCTGCAGAGATTATAAAGAATATAGTTAGAAATTGGTTAGAATAGAGAACACTCGAGTAATTTATCGAATCTCTGCTGTCCCAATTTTTTATTTTAAAATGTTTATGCCAATTTTTTAGTACTTCCAATCAGCTGCACTCTCATATAAGATTGTTCTCTCATATAAGATTGTTTTTGGACATAGGTAATTTAGTTGGGAAGGGCACTAAATGGCACGTGAGACAAGGAATTTTCAAACATTCCTGTGTTTGGAGTCATTGGATAAAGAATCGGCTCAGCCTGAAAATTATCGTTAAATGCCATTTCTTAAAACACTAAAGCCCTTCCGAGTCCCTAGTTTTGATCTCGGATGATCACTGTCGTTTGGGCTACATAGTCAATCTTGCCACCCACTGTTAGGTAGCAACAGCACCATTCCCAGCCCTGGGTTCTCTGACCCTTGCTGGCTAATTTTTTCAGAGGTTAGGATAGGCTAGGTTCAGTAAGACGTTTAAAAAAGTGATGATTACATAGCATTACTACTCTCGAGAGAGATGATGGTTGGGGGGGGGGGGCTTTTTGAATCCATGGTGTAGGCTTGGCAGGCTGGGGGGGGGGAATATGTATAAGTAGATTCTTTTCATTATTGAAAGTTTTTTTCATGTACTTTGGGTTCGTCTTCTGTTTATTAAAAGTTTCCATTTTAAGAAGTGAAGGAGAGTATTGTGGCAAACAAAACACATTTTTAATGCACAAATAATTATAAATACTGTACATATTATTGGTATGAATAATTAACCAGACATTTTCTTCTGCAGTGGCAACCTAACAACACGAATAGTATGGAGTATCCTGATAGAAGTAGTAGTGTTTGTGTTCACAGTCATCCTGGCTATGATCGACTCTGCTGACTGGCCTGGGGTCTTCTTTTGGATAACTATTGCCTCGGTAGTCATCCTTAATGGTAAGTTTTCATAGGATCTACCATGAAAACTACTGTATATGAAAGTGGTTTATGGTTATGATTCATAATAGATAAACTGAATGTGTCCTAAACATGGGTAACTACTGTATTTTTTATACAAATTGTACTGTATGTTGTATATATTATGAACATATTTCTTTCTCCACAGTTGCTAATGGAATCTACCAAAATACAGTATATGGTATGGCAGCAAGACTTCCCTTCTCTTACACAGGTGCTGTGGTTCTGGGCTCTGTAAGTAAATACTCAAATTATCTGTGCTAATTGAGAAAAACAAATGTGTCGGGGGACTGACAGCTGAGTGGACAGTGCTCGGGATTCGTAGTCCTAAGGTTCTGGGTTTGTTTCCACCTCCTCGGGGATCGAATGGGCAGAGTTTCTTTAACCCTATTGTTCCTGTTCACCTAACAGTGAAAAGGTACCTGGGAGTTAGACAGCTGCTACGGGCTGCTTCCTGGGGGGGGTGTGACAAGGAGGAGGCTTGGTCGAGGACTGGGCTGCAGGGACGCTAAGCCCCGAAATCATGTCAAGATAACCTCAAGATGTGTAATTACTTATGTGTAGTTACTGGAAGAGAGCCAAGATACAAAAGCAGTCAGAGAGAAGAGAGGGTCACGATAGGAATGTTTAAGGGGTCGAACCTTTATGCAGTCGTTGATTTAAGGAACAGATTACTGGGTACCCTAATAGACATGGAATTGCTTGATTGTTCCAAGTGTAGGTTAGACATGTGTGAATGATTTGTGGTGCATATAAATAGGAGTTGACTTGTATGGGCCAATAGGCCTTCTGCAGAATCCTTTGTTCTTATATACTATGAAAAATTAGAGTAAATGAATAGCAAGATTAGGTAAAATATTAGATGTGCAGTGAAGTGAATTTGAGAAATGTATGCAAAGCGGGAATATGCAACAATAAAAGACATGCTAGATTAAAAGTGGATGGAAAAAGAGAGGGAAGAGGGGTACAGCATGGTTCAGTGAAAATGTTTCAAGGCAATTGAGAGGAAAACGGATTCATGGAAATTATTGCTGCGGAAAAATTTGCCTCGTTAGCAAGACAAGAAAGATGGAATATAAAATTTGTTAAAAAGATTGTAAGGAAAATGATTTGAGATGAATAAAACATAACGGATGAAGAGTTTGAAAGTAGAGAGAGGATTTTTCCAAAATAAAATAATTTAAAAAGGTTCAATATAAGCATGTTGCAAGGTAAAAAGGTATAGGACTGGGGGAGGGGGAGGTAAAAGAGTATAGGACTGGGGGAAGGGGAGGTAAAGGGGTATAGGACTGGAGGAGGGGGAGGTAAAGGGGTATAGGACTGGAGGAGGGGGAAGTAAAGGTGGGTATCGTCATCTGTGGATGATATTTCCATTATCTGTGGAGAGAATATTTTAAGAACCTAACAATTGCAAATAGTGAAGAAAAGGTAATAACAACATGCTTTGAATTGAGTTAAAGTTGATGGAAGACCAGTAAAACAGAAGAGGGCTAGAAAGAAGGGACATTAGAGAAGCTACAATTAGGTTGATGAGGCAAAAGGCTAAGGATCTAGATTGAATAACTGCAGGTATGATGTGTGGGGGTGAGCTGAAAGTGGACGTGATCTGTTAAGATATGAGGGAGAGGTGCTGGTTATCTTGAGATGACTTCGGGGCTTAGCATCCCCGTGGCCTGGTCCTCGACCACGCCTCCTTTTTGTTACACATCCCCCAGGAAGCAGCCCGTAGCAGCTGTCTAACTCCCAGGTACCTATTTACTGCTAGGCAACAGGCTAAGGGTGAAAGAAACTTTTTGCCCATTTGTCTCCGCCTCCACCGGGGATCGAGCCTGGAACCTCAGGACTACGAACCCGAAGCACTGTCCACTCAGCTGCAAGGCGGCTGGTGGACGTAACCCAAACACTGCTGAGTAACCCTTGTAATATAGTATATAAATGTAAATACAATGTAAGAAATTAAGATAATGGCACTATTTTCAAGGTTGATACTTAATGCTAAAGACTGTAGACTAGTTTTGTATCCTTAGCTTTACTGGTAGATATTGAGCTTAATAAATGAGAAATGTTTAAATAGTATGTTTACAATATTTTAGTTTGAGCTAAATGACGTTTCTCTTATTTATATTTTCTTCAGAGGTGTGTGTGTGTGTGTGTAATTACCTAAGTGTAGTTACAGGATGAGTGCTACGCTCGTGGTGTCCCGTCTTCCCAGCACTCTTTGTCATATAACGCTTTGAAACTACTGACGGTCTTGGCCTCCACCACCACCTCACTTAACTTGTTCCAACCGTCTACCACTCTATTGTGTGTGTGTGTGTGTGTGTGTGTGTGTGTGTGTGTGTGTGTGTGTGTGTGTGTGTGTGTGTGTGTGTGTGTGTGTGTGTGTGTGTGTGTGCGCGCGCGCGCAGGCGTGAGTGTGCATATTCACGTCTGTGTGCTCTCTTGCTTGTTTGTATGTACTTTATGTATGCACTTGTGAATCATTACTCTGACTTTACATATATTTCAGAATATCAGTGGCACATTTACAGCTGTGATTAACATCATAGCTATAGCCATGGCACCGAACATCAGGACGTCAGCCATCTATTACTTCATCACGGCTCTGTTTGTGCTCCTGGCATGCTTTGACACCTACTTTGCTCTACCTCTTAATGTAAGCAGAACATTAACAGTTTCAGAATTTTACAAATAAGTTTGATTAAAGAACACCTTAATTGTATCCATTATAGAAACTATGGTTAGTAAATTCTTTGGCTCTCCATAAACCAAAATATTTTTTCATGTCTAATACACCTTACTGGGAGGGATAGGGGGTATAGGGAGGGATGGGGGGGGATCCCCTCTCAGTAGCTTTCCATGCTAAGTGCTGGTCCAAGATGAAGAAGTGCTTTGGAAGGATGCGCATTCACCCCTTCCTCTGGTGGTCATGATGGTTTTTTCATCTCCAGCTGACTTGTGCTCTTCCGGAGCTTTGCTAGTCCTTGATTTATGATTTGTAGATTTTAGTACCTCGCTTTTGAGTTTTCCTTAAGTTGAGGGCTCATTTCTTAAAGCAGCTTATCTTCTAGATCTGCTGTCAAGTAGGATACAAGAATTTTCTTACATTTCTATAATATATTGCATTTCCAGTTCCCACTATTGTTCCCTTATCCTGCCTCTCTCTAAGAGGCAGGATAAGGGAACCTATTCACCCTTCATATCTTATATGTTGTGTGAAAAACTTCCCTGGTTTTCTCTCCTCTAAGGTTGAGGGGGGGCAAATGCCCTAATTTGTCATCATAGCAGAGTCCTCTCAATTCTACTAATCTTGTTGCAAACGTCTGAACTTTCTTAATTTGTTTTCTTCCTAATGTGTGGGTTCCATGCTAGTGCTGTATACTCATTATATGGGCTTTAAATTTAAAGCCTTCTTGTTTAGATTCTATATTACATTCATATGTTTCCTTACTTCCCATATGCTGCTGATGTTATCCGGTTCACATGAGCTCTCATTTTAGTGCTGGGATAATATCCACTCTCAGGTCTTTTTCTCTTATCTTTCAACCTTGTAGTTGCTAGATATGGTAGCAATCTGCATATTTTCTTCAAGCAGTTGCTTGTTTTGTTACACTGTTTTATTATGGTATTTCTTCTTCTCGGTTTTGGGTTGATCTGTGATCTCGAAGCGGCCCCCTTCCTTGTTTATGATAACCAGATTCAGGACATTGCTCCTGGAAGGCAGGTGTTTGTCTCTAAGGCCTTGTGCATCTCTCTAAGGCCTTGTGCATCTCTCTAAGGCCTTGTGCATCTCTCTAAGGTTTGGCTGGACCAGCACTTAAGTAGCTGCTGAGGATCCCACCAAAAAGTATTTCATTACATCCTATGCTTTATTTTTTGTTTAATAAGAAATTATTTAATGAGAAATTATTTAATATGAAATTATTTAATAAGAAAATATTTAATAAGAAATATTTAATAAGGACTTATTTGCACCACAATGCCTCAAGTAATACAGTATTATGCAAATAAAACTGATCACGGCATATACCAAATGTTTTATCATTAAATTGAACATAGAAATCTTCAAAGCAGTTTGCATGTTAAAAAAATTTTAAATTTTTAATTGCCAAAAATGTAATTTTCCTTGTGTGCGCAGCGGTTTTTCAGGTACCACGAGGCACTTCATGAGAGAGCCAAAAAGGCAGCCAAAAGGGATCCCAGCAAGCCTAAAGTGCCGTATTGGCAGATCTTCAAAAAAGCCTTCCCTCAGCTTTTTAATGTTTTCATGGTCTTTTTCGTCACTCTGTCCGTCTTCCCAGCTGTTCTTGCAGGTATGTTGAGAAGCAGGGGGAATGGAGACAGTTGCAAATGGGTTTTGCATATGCCTGTCTTTTCATGCTAAAGTTAAGAATATTGTCACGTAAGAGATTAACTCGTAGATATCTATAAACTTGATAAAAAGAGACCTACCAACAGAACTGTTGGAAGAACAATGATAGTCTTTGGTATATAGTGAATAACACGTGGAATGATACTGGATTATATTATGTGGTGATATTTAATTAAACTCAAAATACAAAATATTCAGAGAAATCACACTAATGTGATATATACCAATGAGAAAATCAACTGGAGCTCTGAGGTGACTCAATCGAGTCACCTCTGAGCTCCAGTTGATTTTATCATACAAAATATTTTCATTTGGGTATAAATTGTGTTAAGCTCTTAAGATGAACCTTCTTCATTTTACTTTTTTTTTTTTTTTTAGATACTTGCAGAACAGAAGAGAATTTCCCAGTACCTCCAAAATACTTCCAGGCCATTACCTGCTTCCTTACATTCAATATATTTGCCATGTTTGGAAATATGCTCCCAGGGCTCTTCACATGGGTAAGTCAAGGAACTCTTCACAATGTATAGATGTAAGGTGACCCTTCCAGGTAGAAGTATATGATAGTTGTTTTGATTGTCAGTAGCAAAAGCCTTTTTGGACGTTTAACCTTTAAACTGCTAAGGGGTCCTGAGGAGATCTACACTCCTGTGCGCAAGGAAAAAAAATCTAATTTTTTTTGTCTAAAAATGTTAATTTGTGTTTCCTGAGCATGGAAAAAAAATCCTAGGTGACATATTTTGGCCGCAATAGGCTGAGGAAGTCTGGCAAAATGTGGGCGTTGACAGAGCCGTCGTCAGAGACGGTCATCGTCACCCGAGCTGTCAGGTGGGAGTTGCCACAAAGATATTACCTAATTATTTCAATGTCTCTGATTTTTTCATAGTTTTTTGCAGTATTATTATTCAATAGTGTGTAGTGTGATAGATTTATATAATAAAAGGGGTGAATCATCTATATACTCAAAAGTATGATATGCATATTAGCGATTCAATTATTATGTTCATAAAACAAGCAAATAGTTTTGCTGTTATTACACTATATACAGATGTTATATATATAGTATCTACATGTTTTGTTCACCACAACTGTACAACTAAGCTGATATAGTTAGTTCAGGCACTAAGACACATCGCTACACACACACACACACACACACACACACACACACACACACACACACACACACACACACACACACACACACACACACACAGCTAGCGACTGCCTCCCTCACCGAGTCAAGGCCAGACGCACTAAAATTACTCCCACAACAATACCGTTTGTGGTGTTATTACACTATATTATATACAGACTTTATATACAAGTATCTACATGTTGTATTCACCGTAACTGCACACCTGAGCTTGTAGGGTTCCCAAAGAGCATAGTGGCCACCTTCTACACAGCTAGACAAGTCATGCAGACGACGCCACCTCCATCACCCAAATGGCTCCTTCCAACATAATCCTTTTGCTGTTATTACACTAAATACGCACATTATATACAAGTACTGTATCTACATTTGTGTTCATCAGAGAGAACCACCGAGCTGGTATGATGAATACAGACAATAACAGGTGGCCACACAATCAGTAAACGAGGGTCTGTCTAATTACCCAAAGCTTCCTAACAAGCTACCCAAAACTTCCTAACATTACATTAGTAATGAATAAATAGGATATATTTATTCATTATAATGTTGGTGCTGAATGTAGAACATGGGAAAAACATTTTTACTCTGAAAAAGTTTCATTTCATAACGAAACTAGACGAAAATAAGCTGCTGGTGACACCAAAGCAAGTCGATGGTCCAAGCGACAATGTTGTGGAGCGACTTATCCAAGACACATTGTTGCTTGGAGAGTGTTTGCTGGCATATCAGCCTCCTGTACCTACCTAACCTAACCAACCTACCCAAACATAACCTAACAAAACCTAATTAAACCTAGCCTATCCAAACATAACTTAATATAACCTGTAGCAACAATATATCTTGGATAAATTGCTCCACAACATTGTCACTTGGATCATCGACTTCCTATGGCCTCTCATGCCACTTAGTTTCGTCTAATTTTGTTAGAAACTTATATTATTTCAGAGTAAAAATGTGTTTTTTCATGTTCTACCTTCAGCACCAACGATATAGTGAGTAAATATATCATATATCTTCATTACTTATGTAATACTAGGAAGCTTTGGATAGTTTTGAGTAAATTTAGGTAGCTTTGGATAATTAGATGGACTGGTAAACGACGCTATCTCCCTCCCTCCCTCAGCATTACTCCTCCCACACAGCACTAATTATCACAACAATCCTACTATTATCACAATCCTGGTCATTTTTATCACAGTCAGGGGTCTTCTGTAATTCTGTCATCGCTAAATAATAGCAGTTACACATTTATTTTGACATTTTTAGGTGATGCTGTGGTCACAAGCTGAACAGCAATGCTGTTAGCTCATGCTGCGTGCGCCAGCTTTGGTTGCTCACACAGTACTGTGGCTCTCACACTGGAGAATGTTGCCACGATTTTTTTTAAACATGGCATCTGTTTTAAAAAGCCCTGAGCCTCCCCCAACCTAAAGAGACAAAGAAAATAGAGTTTAAAATCAGTGAAAAAATCAGCCATCAAAAATTCAAAGTCCCAAGTTCTGCGAGACGTGACATTTATTTGTTGACCAATTTTATTCTATCTTCACATAGTTAGGGATGGGTATGCACTCTCCAGGATGTAAAGGTTACAACAAAATCAAATAATAAACAAAGGCGAAAAAAATAAAAACTTAAAAAAATTCCCCATAAAATATTCTTTGGACATTGCCCATTGTAAATGTCTTACTTTCTTCATCAATGTATTTATATGATATACTGTATAACAAAATAGAGCATAATAATATACTTATTCATTATTGTGTTATTATATATAACTTTATTATAAACTTTTCCTTTATTGTATAAAGGCACTAGCTGCATATCCACTTTGTGGACACTTCTTACTCTTCTTCTTTGTGCGTCGGACAGGTGCTTGCATCTCTATTACTGCATTATCCCTCGGTTCCAGTTAATAGAAGCTGTTCTCTTTATCAACAAAACATTTTTCTTTTTAAAAAATTTATCTAAGATCAGTTTCTAAAAATATTTTGAGTTTTTCACGACCCTGAAGCCAATAAGTTAGAGATTTGTTTAACATTTTTAAGTAATTTTTACCTAATTCAAATATTTTTTGCTTCCCAGCCCCTTATGCTGAGCAGCATAAGGGTTAAGAAGGTGCAACCTCCTTGTCTATTACAATGTACCCATAGAAAATTCATGCTGCCTTTCAATTACATATACAGTAATTCACAGGGAATGCATGTCATGGATTATCTGTTATTTAAGAGCCCCCCTGTATGTGGAATATATAAAATATTAAAAATGCATTTGTAAATGTTAAGAAAGTTATACAAATATAATTTGCATTATACATAAATTATTGCATTTGTTGTTTCTTGCAGCCTGGTCCAAGATTTCTGTGTGTCCCCGTGCTTCTTCGACTCATCCTTATACCAGCATTTGTATTGTGTCACTTCTACCCAGTTAATGTGGTGAGGATCATGCCAGTCCTCATAGACTCAGACTGGGCTTACTGGGTTTTGACTCTCATTTTGGGCATAACCTCAGGATATTATTCTTCCTTGGCAATGATGTATTGCCCAAGGTATGTACTGGTTTAATTTTGTATATATAATTTGTTGTTCATTTGTTATACAATATGAATCAAATAATAGTTTGTGAGAGGAAGCTGGAAACTGTGTGTAGTGCTCACCAAAAGTAAGTGTTGGCCACATGATATCACGTTATCTTTTAGCTCTCGGCAGGGATCTGATATCCGGCAGCACTTGCCTCTATTGTCACAATGAGTGGAGGGTTAATGCATCATGGTCGGCAACCTATGGTATTAGGTTGCCAACCTATTTGTTATGCACGTATCTAGGAACTATGCAAAGAAACCATTGCTCAGATCGATGTTTTAAAGGATGCAGGAAATATGAATGAATGAATGAAGGAAATAGCGAATTGGGTGCAGTGGCAAAGGTGACAGTGTGGAAGTCTTGGGTGTGTTTCAAAGGTCATTCGGAAAAATTTCTTGAAGTTGGTAAAAAAGTTGTAAAATGTTTATTAAGAGGCTACCCACTCGCATACTCTCCAAAGTTAATTGGAGAGTATGAGAGGGGCAAAACTGTAGTCAACAAGAAATATTTTAGACCATTTACAAACTGTGAAGAAGTCTTCCTGGGACAACCTTTGAAACGTCCACACTGTCACCTTTCCCACACACTGACCAGCTCACTTGTTTCCTTTATTTGGTAGCCTGCATCCTTCAAAACATTAATCTGAGGAATCGTTTCTTTGCTTGGTTCCTGGATACATGCCATAACAACGTAATACCATAGGTTGCCGACCACGATACATTAATCCTCCACTCAATGTGACAGTAGGTGCAAGTACTGCCGGACATCAGATCCCTGCAGAGAGATATAACAATGTAATACCATCATTAATGCTGAAAGCTAAGTAGGATGGGCAATGAGCCACCCACAGTGAGCCTTTGCTCACTGTGACAGGGCAGAAGCAATTGCTAACAGGTAATGTGACCTGTGCCAGGGCACAGGTCATGTTATCACTGACATGACCATTGATTTGTCACCAAAAATATGCAGTGCCCAGCTCCTGAAGGGTGCTCTGTGTGTAATTACCTAAGTGTAGTTACAGGATGAGAGCTACGCTCATGGTGTCCCGTCTACCCAGCACTCTGTCATATAATGCTTTGAAACTACTGACGCTTTTGGCCTCCACCACCTTCTCACTTAACTTGTTCCAACCGTCTACCACTCTGTTTGCGAAAGTGAATTTTCTTATATTTCTTCGGCATCTTTGTTTAATTAGTTTAAATCTATGACCTATTGTTCTTGAAGTTCCAGGTCTCAGGAAATCTTCCCTGTCAATTTTATCAATTCCTGTTACTATTTTGTACGTAGTGATCATATCACCCCTTTTTCTTCTGTCTTCTAATTTTGGCACATTTAATGCCTCTAACCTCTCCTCGTAGCTCTTGTCCTTCACTTCTGGGAGCCACTTAGTAGCATGTCTTTGCACCTTTTCCAGTTTGTTGATGTGTTTCTTAAGATATGGGCACCACACAACCGCTGCATATTCTAGCTTTGATCTAACAAAAGACGTGAACAATTTCTTTAGTATTTTGCCATCCATGTATTTAAAAGCAATTCTGAAGTTAGAAAGTATGGCATTGGCTCCTCGCACAATATTCTTTATGTGGTCCTCAGGTGATAGTTTTCCATCTAGAACCACTCCTAGATCTCTTTCTTTATCAGAATTCTTTAAAGATTTCTCACATAATATATAGGTTGTGTGGGGTCTATGGTCTCCTATTCTACATTCCATAACATGGCATTTATTAACATATTCCATATGCCAAGTGGTGCTCCATATACTTACTTTGTCCAGGTTATCTTGAAGGGCATGACAATCATCTAAGTTTCTTATCCTTCCTATTATCTTGGCATCATCAGCAAACATGTTCATATAATTTTGTATTCCAACTGGTAGATCATTTATGTAGACAATAAATATCACTGGTGCAAGAACTGAATCCTGTGGTACCCCCACTTGTGACATATCTCCAGTCTGATACATTGCCTCTGATTACTGCCCTCATTTTTCCATAAGTCAGGAAATTTTTCATCCATGTTAGAAGCTTACCTGTCACCCCTCCAATATTTTCCAGTTTCCAAAACAACCTCTTATGTGGAACTCTGTCGAAAGCCTTTTTTAGGTCCAGATAGATGCAGTCAACCCAACCATCTCTTTCCTGTAAAATCTCTGTGGCTCGATCATAGAAACAGAGTAAATTCGATACACAGGATCTTCCAGATCGAAAACCATACTGTCTGTCTGATATAATATCATTTCTCTCCAGGTGTTCTACCCATTTAGTTTTGATTAGTTTTCCAATACTTTCACTATTACACTAGTCAATGATACAGGTCTATAATTGATGGTCTTCCCTGCTGCCACTTTTGTAGATTGGATCTATGTTAGCCTGTTTCCACACATCTGCTAAGACTCCTGTACACAGGGATGCCTGAAAGATAAGGTGAAGTGGAATGTTGAGCACAGATGCACATTCTCTCAGAACCCATGGTGAAACTCCATCTGGGCCAACTGCTTTATTCTTACTGAGCTCCTTCAGCATATTTTCCACTTCATCTCTAGACACTTCTATATGCTCTATGTTGTTCTGTGGAATTCTTATAGTGTCTGGTTCTCTGAAGATCTCATTTTTTACAAACACACTTTGGAACTTTTCGTTTAATATTTCACACATTTCCTTTTCATTTTCCATGTATCTGTCCCCCGTTTTTAACCTCCGAATATTATCCTTTTCCTGCAGCTTACTTTTAATGAATTTATAGAAAAGGCCTGGATCTGATTTACATTTGTCTGCTATACCGTTCTCAAAAGTCCCTCTCTGCCTCTCTCCTTACTAACGTGTAGTTGTTTCTTGCATCTTTGTATCGCTGGTATGTTTGGGGGTTTGGCCTCTTTCTATTTATAGAGGTTAGAGGCATGAGGTTGTAGAGGTTAGAGAGAGACACAGATGAATGGAGTAAACAGACACAATGTTAGAGACAATGACTGGAGGAATGTCCCTAGCAGAGTAAGTACCACAGGGTTCGGTTCTTGCACCAGTAATGATCGTCTACATAAACGATCTACCAAAAGGAATACAGATTTATATGAACATGTTTGCGGATGATGCTAAGATACCGGGAAAGATAGGGGAGACAGACGATTATAATGCCCTTCAAATTGATTTAGATAATATAAGTGGTTGGAGCATCAAGTGGCAAATGGAATTCAATGTGAATAAATGCCATGTTATGGAATGTAGAATTGGAGAAAGTAGACCACACACAACTTACAAATTATGTGGAAAGGAATTACAGAACTCTAATAAATAACGACACCTAGGGGTGGTTTTGGATAGTAAGCTGTCACCAGAGGAACAAAGAACATTTCGAGAGGAGCATATGCGTCGCTTTCCAACTTCAGACTTGCTTTTAATTACCTTTATATGGATAGTGAAATTCTAAAGAAACTGTTCATGACTTTTGTGAGACAAAAATTGGAATATACAGCAGTTGTATGGTATCCAAATCTCAAGAAGCACAAAAACTGGTAAAGGTGCAACGGCATGCTACAAAATGGCTTCCGGAACTGAAAAAACAAGAGTTACAAGGAGAGACTAGAGGTGTTAAACATGCCAAAACTAGAAGATAGAAGAACGAGAAGTGATATGATCACCACTTACAAAATACTAACACGAATAGACCAAATTGACAGAGGAATTCCTGAAACCAGCAACTTCACGAACAAGAGAACACAGATTCAAGCTAAGAAAACAGAGGTGCCAACAAAATATTTGAAAATTGTCTTTTGCAAACAGAGTGGTAGACAGAACAAACTAAGTGAGGTGGTGGTAGAGGCCAACACAGTCAGTACTGTAGTTTCAAAGCGTCATACGACAAAGAGCACAGTACTGGGAAGACGGGACAACATAAGTGTACAGTGGCACCTCAACTTACGATTGCCCCGACTTACAATAATTTCGAGCTATGATATATATTTGATCGGAAAATGCGACTCGACTTACGATAGTGTCGTCGACTAACGGTATTTGTTGATACACGTTCGGGTTGACCGAGCGCATGGTTCCTGGTGGCACGGGCCAACCTGCCTCAGTTTACCAGAGCTGCCCGCTTAGTGACGATCACGCTTATAAAAAAATTTTTTGGTGATTTTTTTTTTGCTTTTTGAACATAAAACAGATTATTATATATCACACCATGGGTCCCAAGAAAGTCAGTAGTAAGGTTCAACATATGAAAACACATGTAAGGATGACCATAGAGCAAAAACAAGAGATCATTCGTAAATATGAAGATGGTTTGCGGGTTGCTTAACTAGTTAGGCAGTACAACAAATCTCGGTCAACGATATCCACCATACTTGCTAAGAAAAGGACATTATGAGTGCTAAAGTGGCAAAAGGCGTATCAATAATCATCAAACAAGAAACACAAACACTTGAAGATGTTGAACAGTTATTATTAATTTGGATACCGTTTTAATACCGTTTACTGTAATATTTTAATCAAATTCCCTCATGCTTTATTTTTTAACCTTCAGGACTGTAGAGCATGAATATGCCCCTGTTGCTGGCATGATGGGAGCAGCGTCCCTCATAACTGGAATTTTCACAGGCATCGTTTTCCAGGTATGTTTGATTTGTCTGTTTTTCAAGAGAGCGGATGATTCAGGCCTTTTGTGTATGTGGCAACCTGCATTTTTTTTTTAAACATTGAAGACAATGTTGTGTTTGCCTATGAGGCATTTTACATTTATTTAATAAAATACAAAAGGTATAAATGAGGGCAATAATCAATATAATTTATATGCTGTCAATGAATTACATTGATGGGATTTACAAAATATTTAGGAAGATGATTTGTCATGAAAAAATATATATAAAATATCAAATTCAGTGATCAGCAGCTTTACTCATGTGACACAGAATGAGGATATTATGTAGATAGATAAAAGTATACAGATGTTTTGGTAGTGTCAAAATGCTAGTATTGGAGCACAATGGAACTTTGAAAATGATTATTAAGTAGCATGTTGATATGATCTGTAATGCAATTATTAATGTAAGTATGACTTTTCCCTGAGCCTTTCAAAACATTTTGTCTATTCATTACATTTATTGAGGATCACTTTAATGTACTATATAAAATCTATACATTTTTTCTTTCAGATTGTGTGCACTTGGGCAGTGACAAACATTTCCTTTGAAATTCCTGGGTATGATTTCCCTATGCGAAACTGTACGAATAGATTTAGCTAGAAAAGTTAATGAGAAATTTTTTAATGTTTCCAGTTAGTATGATAATTATTGATTTTAAGTCTTACTTTTGTGTCATAGGAATGTTTCCCTGAATAAGGGGGAATTTTTTTTAAGTAAATGCAGTAAGGCTTTAAATTACTGATATCACACTAATTACACAAGTGACTGTCTTTCAGAAATGTAAAGGGGGGTGCATTTTCATCAGTGTTGCTGAAAATGTCTCTTTGTAATTATATCACATTCAGAAGACTCAAGTCACAGTTATTGTAAGTGAGAAAAACTTTATAGATCTTTGACTGCACAATAATGGGTACACTGTGTGTGTGTGCATTTAAAAAGATCTCAAAGTCGTTATGCTCGAAACATTTCCGAGCACCGTGTTCCTTGATCGGCTAAGTATAAGGAAAAGTACCCAATTTTTCAAGAGCCTCTGAATACACGAACGGGTCAATTTGAAGTTCCAGCATGAAGTAACGATGGCTTTTTAAGTGCTTATATAAGAGGAGGTATAAAATGATTCATATTTGTAGTCAAATTTTATACATTTAACTATATGCGAACAAGCCTGAATGGTCCCCAGGACAATATGCAACTGAAAACTTTAACTATATTTTGCATATTCTTTTCAGCTGTAATTTATTTCAAGGCTTCAATGGTATGAATGCACTTCGATTTAGATTCAAACAGACAACCAATTTCTACTTTGTAAATATTGTACTGTACTCTGTATAGATATGTTGAGACTGGACGAATTAAGAACCTATATTAAAGTGTACTATACTTGATAATACACAATATATTATCTAAGCAACTTTTTTAATGAATATTGTTCTATGTACCAGTACTGTAAACACAGTATTTTACACATACAAAATTATTATAATTTTGTAAATTTATTTTACATTAATAATTACTGAAATGTTTGTATCGTTTCCTCGATAGTTTACCTACGTTCTTACGTTACTAAGTATCTTTAAAGAAACAGCTGAAGCTATCTTTTAAGACATCACCATTTATTTGGCAACTATTACATTTTAATTTTATCAATATATACGTGTGTGTGTGTATATGCAGACACTTTACACCTGTATATGTAATGTAAAAAATTTGTACGAATCCAAGAAAAATTAACATACTTGGGTGTCCTGAATATGTATATAAATATATAATTATATACATATAATTATAATCTCATTAACTATTTGATAAAGCTAAACACAGTCTGTGGTATAACTGAAGTGTAAATAAATAGAATAGTTTGTGGCGTGTCGGAGAAGGTGCAAGATTTTATAGGTATACACTGTATTAACATTTTGCTACTGTATGTGGAAATAATTTTAATAGCTACTAAAAGATAATTTTGTGATTAGTTTATATACTTATAAATATTTAGCATTGTGCATATCCTTTTAAGTTTCAGAAAATACCACACAAATTTTTATTTGTATAATTATCAAATATACAGAGCGGGTAGTAAATTACACTTCAGGATTGAAACTTCCAAGAACACACTACTGGGGTTTTACGTTCTTTGCTACACGATTTTTCTCCCTTCACAAAAAAAAAAAAATGACTGCAAATTGTGAAGTAACCCTGTGATTTCCACTATGCGAAGGTACTTGTGTATAGTTTGTACTATATAACAAAGTAAATCTTTGTAATTATGTGAACTAATGGCAAAAATCACGTCAGATTTGAAGCTTGCAATGAAAAACTGTCCAGGATCACACGGTAGCTTTACAGTGAAAATGTGCATGACTGAAACATATCAATTCAAAACTAATGCAAATGTTCATTTGCCTATGCCAATTTTTATGAAATGCTTTTTTTTCGATCGCTTATGAAACTACATTCTTCCTTGTTGAAATATTATAAAAGATGTATTTGACAACGTCTTGACATTGACAAGTACAGTGATAAAATGAAGCTTTACACAAATGGGTTACAGGGAGATTTCAAAAGCTTATTTAAGTTATTTGTTAGAAAAGTAAGCACAGTTCATTTCTGGGATTGTGCAAAACTTTATTGTACCGTAATTTCATTTTGATAGTATGACCCACTGAAAGTTTAAAATTAGCAAATCTGTTTGCTAATGGTTAATGGGGTTTGAGGTGTAATACCTATAGAATTCTGAAATTTGACATAATCAAATTTAATTTTTGCATTTACATACTGACCCTGAAGCCATGTTGTTGATAAGTCTCTTTGGTGTAAGTATTTTTGTACTTTAATGTTTTTTACCCAATGTATTTTAAAATGCAGCCTCATCTTTACAACAACTGCTTCCCTAACACGAGTCCGACTGTCCGCAACCCCTGCGAAGGAAACGTCATTTTCTTAGTCCCTTGTGTTTGTCATGCTTTCACTTTCTAGATGCCATTTTTTGAGAGTACATAAAGTGATGCCTTGTGTAGTGCAAAGAGAAACAGCTCAAGTTTAATTAAGATGGTGACAACTAGACATTTTTAGCTGTGGCAGCTTAGTGGGGGTATTGTAACTAAATACTGACATTATAGTTTAAAAGGTTTTCTTACTGCAAATGTGAAATATGGCCATGCATGCCTACAAATAAGTAATGAGAATTGGTCTAGTTAAATGCCAGTTTTGTATATCTTCAATGTCAGTTTACCTCGATATTTGCCCGTAACTATACATAATTTGTAGCCATTCACAATGCTAATAATTTTTTTTAAATAGTCCACATTTTTTTTATGTGGGCTAATGACTAAATCAAGCAAGGAGAAGGGTGCACAAAACATATATATATATATATATAAACTGTATATACTTCAGTGTTATGTTTCTAAGAAGTCATGTATAGAAAAAACAAATTTAATTATGTTGTACCCTTGAGCTACAACATCTGGTTGTCATTTGTAAACAATGTGTATTACAGTACTACTAAACACCACTTGACAAAAATAAAGATGTCGATTACAATATTTACACAACGCAAAAGTCAATTCCTAGTAGTCATAGGAAATTTGATTAGGACTGATTTATTTATTGGTTTTAATAGTTATTTTTATATAATTCTGACTTTGTATCCTGAAGTCTGTACAAAATAGCAATGACCTGGAAATAGTTTTTGATTTAACAGCAGAGTACAATCTGTAAGAATCTGCAAAATAAATTGTTCCTTGTTTGTGTTATTTTTTATCCCTTGTTTATATCAATGCTGGTTTATTGAAACATCTACTTACTGATTCATATCATGTGTTTGCTTCCTTTAGCAGCCTGACATTTTGCAAAGGTAACCTTTTCAAATGTTCCTGGTCATACTGGTGCAAGGTAGACAAAAATCGATCCAGATTGGTATGATAGATGAGGCTTATTAGTATTAACGCCCAGCATTTCATGCTTTGTATCTACCTCCTCGCATCTATGAACCTTGGCATACTGGCCTCTGCTCAGGGATAATGTGAATCTTAGATGCCAGGAGCCTGATGTGTCACACCTAAGTCCCCAGTATGCCAGGATACTGGAAGCCAATGTGTCGGTTATGATATTTTTCTGGGAAGAAAAAGGCTTTGATTACTGAAACACTGATATGCCAGGTGTATTCCAGGAGTGACTACCTGTTGATTCCAAGGATCAGTGTCCCCTTGGACCGGTCTCTGACAAGGTCTACTGGTTGCTGGTCCAGTCAACCAATGGCAGAATAAGATTTCAACTGCGATTTAGCAGCAATTTAATATATTTTAGTTGTTGAACACACAGGACACACTGAAGTGACCTCCAAGTCATACTCATATACCACCTAAGACAAATGAGAAACACTTAGTGGGCCAGTCTATGGGGGGGGGGGGAAGGGTTAGGAATAAGGGATTCCAGTAGCTTGACATGCCAGCATCATGTGATGCTAAGACTTTGCGGTATCAAATCTGAGTGTGCTAAGTATATAGGATTACTATAGCCTCGGAGCCTATACTACATTCTTGAAATACCTTTAAACTATAATGCCTCCTGCGCTCCAAAAAAACTGACTCCCAATATACGAGACTTCTGGCATCTCCAATAATAGCTGTACTATACATATACGTACTGTAGAAGCTTGCTAATCCAGTTGCTTGTTCCAGGTGATACGTTACAACAATTTTGGATGAGGTGGAAACAAACTTTCAACACAAGACAGAACACGAAACAATGGGTATAATATTTAAGTTAAAGGGAAGAATGGAAGTAACTGCAAAGGGCCTATTGGCCCATATTTCTTGATGCTTCTATATTGGTGCGGAGTCTTGAAGTGGGTAGAATATAGTTGTGCATTAATTGGCTGTTGATTGCTGGTGTCGACTTCTTAATGTGTAGTGCCTCGCAGATATCAAGCCGCCTGCTATCGCTGTATCTATCGATGACTTCCGTGTTTTTTGTTAAGACTTCTCTGGTGATGGTTTGGTTGTGGGACGAGATTATATGTTCCTTAATGGAGCCCTGTTGCTTATGCATCGTTAATCGCCTGGAAAGAGATGTTGTCTTGCCTATATACTGAATTCTTTGAGGCTTACAGTCCCCAAGTGGGCATTTGAAGGCATAGACAACATTGGTCTCTTTTAAAGCATTCTGCTTTGTGTCTGGAGAGTTTCTCATGAGTAGGTTGGCCGTTTTCTTGGTTTTATAGTAGATCGTTAATTGTGTCTTCTGATTTTTGTCTGTAGGGATAACGTTTCTATTAACAATATCTTTCAGGACCCTTTCTTCCGTTTTATGAGCTGTGGAAAAGAAATTCCTGTAAAATAGTCTAATAGGGGGTACAGGTGTTGTGTTAGTTGTCTCTTCAGAGGTTGCATGGCGTTTCACCTTCCTTCTTATGATGTCTTCAACAAAACCATTGGAGAAGCCGTTGTTGACTAGGACCTTCCTTACCCTACAGAGTTCTTCATCGACTTGCTTCCATCCTGAGCTGTGGCTGAGAGCACGGTCGACATAAGCGTTAACGACACTCCTCTTGTACCTGTCTGGGCAGTCACTGTTGGTATTGAGGCACATTCCTATGTTTGTTTCCTTAGTGTAGACTGCAGTGTGGAAACCTCCGCTCCTTTCCATGACTGTTACATCTAGAAAGGGCAGCTTCTCATCCTTCTCCATCTCGTAAGTGAAACGCAACACAGAATTCTGCTCAAATGCCTCCTTCAGCTCCTGCAGATGTCTGACATCAGGTACCTGTGTAAAAATGTCATCAACATACCTGCAGTATATGGCCGGTTTCAAGTTCATGTCGACTAAGACCTTTTGTTCGATGGTACCCATGTAGTAATTCGCAAACAGGACACCTAGGGGAGAACCCATGGCGACCCCATCTACTTGTTTATACATGTGCCCATCCGGGCTCAAGAAGGGTGCTTCTTTAGTACAAGCTTGGAGTAGTTTCCTTAGAATGTTTTCTGGTATGTCAAGAGGAGTACAGGCCGGATCACGATACACTCTGTCCGCTATCATCCCGATTGTTTCATTCACAGGTACGTTGGTAAACAGTGATTCTACGTCCAACGAGGCTCTTATCCCTGTGGCCCGTGTTCCCCGCAGTAAGTCAACAAATTCCTTTGGAGACTTCAGGCTGAAGGTGCAAGGGACATAAGGATTCAGCAAGCCGTTGAGTCGCTTCGCCAGTCTGTACGTGGGTGTGGGTATCTGGCTGATGATTGGCCGAAGTGGGTTTCCAGGCTTATGTGTCTTGACATTTCCATACACGTATCCAGGCTTATATTCTCCAATAATCTTTGGCAGGTGGAGTCCGGATTTCTTGGCGTTCACAGTTTCGATCAATTTGTTGACCTTTGCCTTCAATTCGGCTGTAGTGTCCTTCGTTACCCTTTGGAATTTAGTTTGGTCACAGAGAATGAGGTTCATTTTCGCCATATATTCGTCTTTTTTAAGAATGACGTATATTGGCGACTTGTCACCTCTTCTGACGACTATCTCCTTGTTCTCACGAAGGCTCTTAGCTGCCGCTTTGAGCTCAGGGGACAGTATGGTGCTTCTGTAATTGCCTCGATTCTTTCCTCCTTCCGCAATAAGTTCTGCTTGTAAGGTGTCTTTGGTGGTGACCTTCTTTTGTGTCTCGAGGTCGAATGAACCTTGCAGGAATCAACCTCACTGAGGACCAAGTCACTCTCCTAAATTTGGGTATAAACTGTCACATTATGTCCAGACCAAGTGAGATGGCCCGGAAAGCGGAGTTGGAGATCCTGTTGGACGACATATTCTGCTAATGATATTTGTTCACGTACATAACGGAGCTAAATGTTGCAATTGAACATTGTCCGAAGTGCACTGTCGTCTTACAGTTGTGCTTATCCTTGTTGAATATCCTAATTTCCAAGATGTGCGCCTGTCTTGCTTCCCGACTGTCCCTCGTGGTCACTTGTTTCTTTGATAGAATCATTGGTGAATCGGGTATCTTGATATCGCTCACCTTACGTGCTTTTGTTCTCGTATTGGCATCCTTGGTGATATTTGCGCCTTGTGAACATCTTGCACCTCTGATGGTGCTACATGTGTCTCCCCGGCTTGGTGCCTTCTTTGGATAATTACTTGCAATTGAACATTCATTAGTTCGCAAAGTTACTGAACAATCACATCAGATGGGGAATAACGCTAGTTTATAAGATGTTCTAATGCCATGTGTTTGACTATTGGTTTGTTATTTTAGTTTATATTGTTAAGACTACAGTATTATTATTATTATTATCGATAATTATAAGGTGTTTTCCAGATTCCTTTATAAATTGTTAGCAAAGATTTATAGGTCAATAACAAATACATATTGTAGTTTGATTTCAAATTTATCACACTAATTTGTGAAAGACAGAATAAGAGAATATTACGAGTGACCAAAATAGCATAAATTTCAAGATATTTATGAATATAAAACATTGTACATAGGTTTGGACATAATGTATATACATGTTTTTATGTATTATCTGTTTTACAGTTTTTCCCAGTAAACATCTGCACCTTATTACAGCCTCTGACAATGTTGAAATTATGGCTTGCATTGTTACTGTATTCAAAGTATATTAGCCTTGATTAGGACTGACGAAGAGCACTTAAGACTTTAATTAGTTTCTAAACCAAATTTCAGCATATCATTTTATAAGAATCAAAACTGCAAGTCTCTCTAAATTGTTAAGGAATATTCTTATCTAAGGAAATCTCATCTTAACACACAGTGCCAATCAAAAATACTGGCATCTTTTCTTGTGTTACTATTAAAAATAATCAGTCTGACATTGCTAATATAGTATTAAAATGGCGAAATTGTTGGGCCTAAGTAATTTATTGTTAAGACCTGCGGAAAATAATTTCTCATTATATATACCATTTGTTTTATCATCCACAAATATTTTACAGTTTAACAGCATATTTTATGGCAGTATCTAGTATAATCTTTTTCTATTATAAATAAAACAGCTATTGAAGACCTGTGATTTTGTCATCCACCTTTTCTAGAAATGCAAATAGGTTTTCTTGGTTTGTTTGTTTTCTTGGTTTGCATCTCTACCAAATAGTTTTTTTTTTTATCCTTTGGACACGCATATATATAATAGCAAAGCTGGTCCCACATACAATAGTTGTATTTCCAATGTAGTTTACATTTTGAAGTTGTATTTCCAAGATAGTATAGCCATACTGGTTGAGTATTTTGTTTTGATAATTAGCGTGCTTGTGAATGAAATCATGCATACATCATTTTGTATAAAATATAATGTAACCGACTGTGGGAAACGGCTCTGGGTGAGATTATGTATTGACAAGACCCGTTGAACTCATCGTTAGGCACGTGTATATAGAGCTGTTATGGTTAGTTTGGAGGAGACTGTTCAATAATGAATGAGGCTCTGTATAGTATCATATAGGGGAAGGGGAAGCCATTACGATTATATAGCACTGGGAAGGGGGTCAGGATAAGGATTTGGGACGGGACGGGGGGAAGGAATGGGAGCTAATCGGAGAAGTATTGACTTGCTGCATTGAAACATGGGATAAATATACAGAAAAAGTGTAAGGACATGAAAATAGTTGGAACACTACTGCTTTTTGGAAACGTTATTTTTACTGTCACCTGGTTATAACCAAGGACATAGATAAGTTTCCCTGTAAGCACCCAAGAGGAAACTGCTATTGGTAAACCCCTTCTGTGGAATTTAACAAAAATAAGTGTCTTACTAAAATATATGTTAATAAGTTGCAAAAACTATTATCCATGCAGATAATAAATAGCCTTGTACTACCATAACTTTACCTACTGTACTGTTATAACATCCGTGTAACGATCACAAATTTGAGGTCAATTAATAGTCCATAACTAGTTCACAAAAGTGTAAAATTACTATAGGCTGTGTGTAGACCACGGGACGAGTTCCTGAATCCATTATTTATGAATCTCGAATGCTTTTATCCGCTGTTTTGATTGATAATATACTGATTAAAGTAAATCAGTATATTACTTATTATATTCAATTATAATATATTGATTAAAGTAACTAACGGAATGTAAAACATTGGAGCGTAAACTAGCGCAGCACCAGGATGGTCGTTAAGCATTGTGACGTCACCAATGACGCTGTTGGGCACGATGGTCAGGAGCGGACGGCCGCCGCCGCCTCAGTCTTGGGCTGACAGCCAGCAGAGGTAGTTCCTTGGGAGGTGTCCGGCCGCCGCCGCCGCCTCAGTCTTGGGCTGACAGCCAGCAGAGGTAGTTCCTTGGGCGGTGTCCGGCCGCCGCCGCCGCCTCAGTCTTGGGCTGACAGCCAGCAGAGGTAGTTCCTTGGGCGGTGTCCGGCCGCCGCCGCCGCCTCAGTCTTGGGCTGACAGCCAGCAGAGGTAGTTCCTTGGGCGGTGTCCGGCCGCCGCCGCCGCCGCCTCGGTCTTGGGCTGACAGCCAGCAGAGGTAGTTCCTTGGGCGGTGTCCTGCTTCTTGCTTCTATTGCAGCTACACCGGTCATCAGGTAAGGTAACCATGGACTTTATTGCTCAATGTATTAACTCGTGTACGGTGTTAGGTGTCGATATTTAATTATAGTGTGACCTGCGGCCAGATTCACGAAAGCACTTACGCAAACACTTACGACCGTGTACATCTTTCCTTAATCTTTGACGGCTTTGGTTACATTTATTAAACAGTTTACAAGCATGAAAACTTCCCATTCAACTGTTATAAACAGCCTCCTGGTGCTTCCGAGCTCATTAACTGTTAAATAATTGTAAACAAAGCCGCCAAAGATTGAGAAGATGTACAGGTTCGTAAGTGTTTGCGTAACTGTTTCGTGAATCTAGACCCTGGTTGTTGGTGTAACGTAATGTGGGCTCTGTTTAGAGCCCACTTTATGACTTTATAGGGACAGTGATATTTGGGTGGCGTGTGAAAGAATTGGTAAGTTATTTACAGGGAAACCTAATTGACGTATCCTAACAATAGTATTAATAATTAGCTTCGTTTAAGACTTAGCCGTACAGCATTAAGTGGCTGGTCCACAATTTTTCTTTATTTTTTTTCTTTAAATCTGCATTAGAGCAAAAATAATCTAATATCTGGGCAGTACGTAAGGGGTAAGTACGTGGCCCGTTTAAGATGCAATAATTATTAGTAATGAGTAAAGGATAAAAATTACTGTAGAATTTTGGGATTTGTAGCTAAAAATCTTAGAGCCAGCTGTCATATTTAAATTTTTAAATGGCTTGTAGGTACTGTAATGTACAGCTTATTCCTGTGGCGTAGCGTCGGTAGTGGTAGTTAGAGGCAGTTTATGGGTATCTACTGTGGCTTAACACTTTAATGCGCGCGCACCCTGTTCATAGCCTGATGTTCATTGCATAGCGCGTACTGTTCATAGCGCTCATGATTTCGTGTTCTGAGGGCATTTTCACAGAACTATGCTGCTTCGATGACTTGCTGATTTTTAAACTTGATGGTATTAAACCCACTTTTTTATTTAACAGGCGGGTGTGGATTTCTGTAGTGTAATTCAAGGAACAAATTTTATCTGAATTACTTCGGTTACGACCGGGTATCTGGTGAGTTATGCAGGTTTGAATTTGTCTTTTATCTGTAGTGTATTGCAGCGGGTAAAAAAAATTTCTGGTGGTTCTAATAGTTTGTGGTAAGGTAGAACTTAACTGAATTATTTTGGTATATTAAATCTCGGCCCTCCCCCCCCCCCCCCCACTACTTGGGCAATTTTCCTAGTTCATGTGGTTTCTTCAGTAGTGCGAAAATTGTATGTAAAGCTTTCAGTAAAGTTTATATTCAGTGAAGCCGTAATTAGTAAAGGTAGACATTTGCGTGTCACGGATTACATGGTCTTCCGTGACAGTCAATTTTGTTAGTAGTTAAGTGTTGGCATGTCGCTAATTTACGGGGTACTAGTGGGCATGCCACGTCTTGTGGGGTCGTAATGTTCATCAGTCATGGTATCGGTAATCACTAGTATGCGTGGTGATGTTTGGAATGGCAACTTAAAAGCTATTAGGACGAATGTATATATTAAACAAACCAAGAATTTGGTAGTTAAATTTATTGCAAAAGGTTTGGTACTAAAATTAGTACCCTTGTGTTGGTGCCTTTTATATCCAAAAGATTACAAAGAGGTATACAATGTTAGAGAAATTATTTGTTGAACGAAAACAACCTTGTCTGTTTTCATAAATTTATTTGATTTTGAAACATTGTAATGGTATAAATAACAATGTTGTATTTCTAGGATCCGGCTTGACAATGGCAGTCTTCACGCTTAAGAAATAACTTGAAGTGAACGGAGGACTAGTCAGAAGGGGAACGCAACTGGTTCTGACGTGACATAGCTGCAAGTCTCGACAGAGGTGGTTGGACGGTGTGCAACACGGGGCGCCTGTCAACGTTGCTGGAATATCTGAAAGAAAAGGCAAGTTGTTAACGTTCAGTTAATATTTATAATTAGCAGGAAAGTGTTGGAAAAGATATTCATCAGAGTTATAGAAAGAACATCTGTGGGACATTAGAAACATTTGGTATTAACTAGTCATGAGACTTGGGTTTAGGAGGAAGTAAAAATGTCGGTTAAAATATAGAAATTGGAGTAAGACTAGTCTAATTAGCGGGGAAATATCAGATAAGCTTTGAAGCGGCATGATTCAAAGATTGTGTAAAGGATGAACGGTATAGTGTTCATGACATTGTAGTTGGGAGGACCTAATAGTGATAAGTGGAAAATAGTCTTGGGCAGTATGGGTAGTTAACGGGGGAGGGGGGGATGACAAACGGTGTTGCTTCTACACCACTAGACTTTGCCACTAGGATTATTGAACGTAGAGTTTGCAAGAATACTACGGTTTCTTACTGTTTAGTGTATGTTAGGAAGAATGAAGGAACTTACATATTCTTCAGTTGACTATAACGGTAAGTTTTAAGTTTTAATGTCAAATGGTCTAAATTGGTATTAGATAAAATATTGTTGACGGGCCATTTTGTTAGTGAAAACGTGTAAAAGTAATATTAAGGGAGGAAACTTAGACTAAACTAACGATAACTTTCAGAACATCGTAGATTGTGGTAGAATGGTTAGAAAATAGTTTGTAGTAGGAAATAGTTTGGCGTGTAGTGTGGTTACTCTAGCTTGAGTGTTGGAAGGGTAAGTAGAGAAACGTGAATATTGAAATGAAAACATTTTTTTCTTTACAGACGCGGTATAGAAAATGGATGAAGACTGGGAGCCGGTCGGCCGAGCGGACAGCACTTGGGACTTGTGATCCTGTGGTCCTGGGTTCTATCCCAGGCGTCGGCGAGAAACATTGGGCAGAGTTTTTCACCCTATGCCCCTGTTACCTAGCAGTAAAATAGGTACCTGGGTGTTAGTCAGCTGTCACGGGCTGCTTCCTGGGGGTGGAGGCCTGGTCGCGGACCGGGCCGCGGGGACACTAAAGGACCCCGAAATCATCCCAAGATAACGGGTGGCTGTAGCAGTAGAAAGGCCGGTGAAGCATGGATTGAAAAATTGGGAAGCAAGCTGCAAAGTGGAAATTGTAAATCTGTGTATAGAATACTTTGAAAATGTTCTTGGAACTATAGAATCTGTTCCCTCTGTTTAATATCTGGTGTATGGCGTTATACCTATTTGGCTAGTTTCCTAAATTAACAATGTGAGTTCGATAAATGTTGTTCGTATTGGAATAAATATCCCTAAATTATAGACGTTAATGTTTACAGCTGTTTGTATATTTAACGGCTGGCTATGCTGTTATTCCTACAATGCCATGTTTATTGTTGTAACAATGTCTAGGCCCAGCGCATGTGACGTAAAGTGGCTAGAATTTGAAAGGTTTGTTAATAAAGTGTTCATATTGGATAAGTGTGTGAACTGCATGTCCCAAATGGCTTTAGTCCTCTTGATGTAAAAGTTTGACAGTAACACTTCGTGGTTAATGTTAAAATGGTTGTTCCCGAGGGTTGCAGACACCACGACACAACACAAGCGATGACATTTCACTACATACGAAGATAGCACAAAATTCACAAGAAATTTGCACGATAACACAAGAAATTTTGGAAAAATAAAAAGACAGACGACGACAAGCGACGACACAACACAAGCGACGACATTTCACTAAGACAAAGATAGCTAAAAATTCACAATAAATTTACGATAACACAAGAAATTTTGGAAAAACAAAACGACAGACGGCGACAAGCGACATTACAAGCGACGACATTTCACTATATACGACAAAGATATCGTGCAAATTTCTTGTGAATTTTGAGCTATCTTTGTCGTATATAGTGAAATGTCGTCGCTTGTGTTGTCGCTTGTCTGTCGTTTTGTTTTTCCGAAATTTCTTGTTATCGTGCAAATTTCTTTCGAATTTTGTGCTATCTTTGTCGTATTTAGTGAAATGTCGTCGCTTGTTTTATTTTTCCAAAATTTCTTGTTTTGGTGCAAATTTCTTGTGAATTTTCTTTTATCTTCGTCGTATGTAGACATGTCGTCGTTTGTCGTGTTGTCGTCGTGTTGTCGTCGTTTGTCGTGTTGTCGTCGTTTGTCGTGTTGTCGTCGTCTGTCGTTTTATTTTTCCAAAATGTGTTAGCTCAAAATTCACAAGAAATTTGCACGATAACACATTTTGGAAAAATAAAACGACAGACGACGACAACACGACGACATGTCTACATACGACGAAGATAAAAGAAAATTCACAAGAAATTTGCACCAAAACAAGAAATTTTGGAAAAACAAAACTACAGACAAGCGACATTTCACTATATACGACAAAGATAGCTCAAAATTCACAAGAAATTTGCACGATATCTTTGTCGTATATAGTGAAATGTCGTCGCTTGTGTTGTGTCGTCGCTTGTCGTCGTCTGTCGTGTTGTGTCGTCGTCTGTCTTTTTATTTTTCCAAAATTTCTTGTGTTTTGGTGCAAATTTCTTGTGAATTTTGTGCTATCTTCGTCGTATGTAGTGACATGTCGTCGCTTGTCGTGTTGTGTCGTCGTTTGTCGTGTTGTGTCGTCGTTTGTCGTGTTGTGTCGTCGTGTAGTTTTATTTTTCCAAAATTTATCGTGCAAATTTCTTGTTAATTTTTAGCTATCTTTGTCGTATATAGTGAAATGTCGTCGCTTGTCGTGTTGTGTCGTCGCCTGTCGTCGTTTGTCGTTTTATTTTTCCAAAATTTCTTGTTATCGTGCAAATTTCTTGTGAATTTTGAGCTAACACATTTTGGAAAAATAAAGACAGACACGACGACACAACACAAGCGACGACATTTCACTACATACGACAAAGATAGCTACAAATTCACAATTTGCACGATAACACAAATTTTGGAAAAATAAAACGACAGACGACGACACAACACGACAAGCGACGACGACACAACACAAGCGACGACGACACAACACGACAAGCGACGACGACACAACACGACAAGCGACGACATTTCACTACGCACGACGAAGATAGCACAAAATTCACAAGAAATTTGCACGATAACACAAGAAATTTTGGAAAAATAAAACGATAGACGACGACACAACACGACAAACGACGACACAACACGACAGGCGACGACACAACACGACAAGCGACGACATTTCACTATATACGACAAAGATAGCTAAAAATTCACAAGAAATTTGCACGATAACACAAGAAATTTTGGAAAAATAAAACGACAGACGACGACACAACACGACAAACGACGACACAACACGACAAACGACGACACAACACGACAAACGACGACACAACACGACAAGCGACGACATGTCACTACATACGAAGATAAAACAAAATTCACAAGAAATTTGCACCAAAACAAGAAATTTTGGAAAAATAAAACGACACAACACGACAAGCGACGACAGACGACGACACAACACGACAAGCGACGACATTTCACTATATACGACAAAGATAGCTAAAAATTCACAAGAAATTTGCACGATAACACAAGAAATTTTGGAAAAATAAAACGACAAACGACGACACAACACGACAAACGACGACACAACACGACAAGCGACGACATGTCACTACATACGACGAAGATAAAACAAAATTCACAAGAAATTTGCACCAAAACAAGAAATTTTGGAAAAATAAAACGACACAACACGACAAGCGACGACAGACGACGACACAACACGACAAGCGACGACATTTCACTAAATACGACGAAGATAGCACAAAATTCAAAAGACATTTGCACGATAACACAAGAAATTTTGGAAAAATAAAACGACAGACGACGACACAACACGACAGACGACGACACAACACGACAAGCGACGACATTTCACTAAATACGACGAAGATGGCACAAAATTCAAAAGACATTTGCACGATAACACAAGAAATTTTGGAAAAATAAAACGACAGACGACGACACAACACGACAAACGACGACACAACACGACAGGCGACGACACAACACGACAAGCGACGACATTTCACTATATACGACAAAGATAGCTAAAAATTCACAAGAAATTTGCACGATAACACAAATTTTGGAAAAATAAAACGACAGACGACGACACAACACGACAGGCGACGACACAACACGACAGGCGACGACACAACACGACAAGCGACGACATTTCACTATATACGACAAAGATAGCTAAAAATTCACAAGAAATTTGCACGATAACACAAGAAATTTTGGAAAAATAAAACGACAGACTACGACACAACACGACAGGCGACGACACAACACGACAAACGACGACACAACACGACAAACGACGACACAACACGACAAGCGACGACATGTCACTACATACGAAGATAAAACAAAATTCACAAGAAATTTGCACCAAAACAAGAAATTTTGGAAAAATAAAACGACACAACACGACAAGCGACGACAGACGACGACACAACACGACAAGCGACGACATTTCACTATATACGACAAAGATAGCTAAAAATTCACAAGAAATTTGCACGATAACACAAGAAATTTTGGAAAAATAAAACGACAAACGACGACACAACACGACAAACGACGACACAACACGACAAGCGACGACATGTCACTACATACGACGAAGATAAAACAAAATTCACAAGAAATTTGCACCAAAACAAGAAATTTTGGAAAAATAACACGACACAACACGACAAGCGACGACAGACGACGACACAACACGACAAGCGACGACATTTCACTAAATACGACGAAGATAGCACAAAATTCAAAAGACATTTGCACGATAACACAAGAAATTTTGGAAAAATAAAACGACAGACGACGACACAACACGACAGACGACGACACAACACGACAAGCGACGACATTTCACTAAATACGACGAAGATAGCACAAAATTCAAAAGACATTTGCACGATAACACAAGAAATTTTGGAAAAATAAAACTACAGACGACGACACAA